AAACTATATATTTTTGAAATCAGTGAATAAGGCTATCATTTGAGACCGGAAGTGACATTTTCTAAACCGGAAGTAGCCAATTATATCCCTTTTTAGAGGGATCATATGATATCGAACAGTTATTGCGCTTTTGAGACTGACCCTGTTTAACCGAACACTTTTTATTGTAAGAGTTATCTGCCCAAACACTGTTTTCCTAGTGCGCATCTCCTTCTTAACCGTAAAAGTTTACGACAAAATTATTTCACCAATTTCCTCGTTATATTCTCAGAATCTGACTTATAATTTGACCGAAGCCATCCGGAGACTCCATATGAGAGTTATTTCCCTTTATGCATTTGATATAAGTGATATGCATTTGTAACTGGTAAACCATAAGTGATAGAAACTTAGGGTCTTTTGATTTGAGGTCCTTGGTAAAAAAAAAACAAAATTAGGTCAAGGTCAAAGTTCAAAGTCATGTTGTGATTTTTTACATTAAGTTCGTATCGTTTCTTCAGAGAAAGAGTTATAGTTATCGACAAAACAATTTAACCAAAATGTCCTTACTGGAAATTTTTGTCAAAATGGTACGCGTCTTTTTATTTCAGGGTCAATGCCCCGGAAATGGTCAAATCAACAAATTACTAATTAAAACTTCAAAATTTGCAGCTGTTGTAAATGTATCTTATCTCCATTATCAACCACAGTCTACCACTACATCACCCCCCTTTTTTCAACTTTTTTTTTCAGTTAGAAAATCGCCATCAGTCCTGTACATGTAAAAATGCTAATCCTTCTTATGAACAAACTTCTTCCTGAAATAGAAATCCATCCCTGCAAAAATCTGCTCCAATTCATGTATTTTCTGAAATTAATCGATAAACTTTTGTTAAAGTACTATAACAACAGCATTATTTTTGTGTGCATGCAATGAATGAAGACTCGTGATCAGCAATTAGACAATAGTTTACCTGTAAAATGAATCAAGAAAATATATTCCCGTTATTACTATAAATCACGTGCGGTTCGCTTGACGGCCTGACCTGGGTAGAGAAATTAAAATCAATGACGTAGAAATTGCTCCAAAGTTCGTAAATATTAGTGAAATCCTACAATAAAATTTCTAAACATGCATTAAAACAAATCTGTGTTCACGTAAATATGTGTACGAAAAAAGCATGCATGATCCGACATCAATGACCAGTAGATGAAAGAAAATTAAATCCGTTAGCACAATCTTTATACACAGGTCTGGTCTTGACGACATATCAGCTTAGTGACGTCACAATCACACCATCTTCAGCGCGTGCTATCTAAAATAAAATAGGGGTTTTCCCCCTTTTCGAAAAGAATTAAAATGTGCACGTAGATTAAAAACAAAAGATCCATGCAGGTCAGGTCCGATTTCCTTTAAAATACAAAATTGAATGAAATGCACACACAATAAGTAAATAAGACACAAATTCCGGAAAGCCTTATAAAAAAACTCTCAATTCATTTTTCGCTTGTTCCTAAAGGCTACGTCCCAAGTGTTTAAACAGGGGAACTAGGCTCTTAATTCTTTTTTCGCTTATTCCTAGAGACTAGGTCCAATGTGTTTAAACAGGGGAACTAGGGTCTCACTTCCCTTTTCGCTTGTTCCTAGAGGCTAGGTCCCATTTGTTTGAAAAGGGGAACTAGGCTCTCAATTTCTTTTTCGCTTGTTCCTAGAGGCTACGTCCAAAGTGTTTAAACAGGGGAACTAGGCTCTCAATTCCTGTTTCGCTTGTTCCTAGAGGCTAGGTCCCATGTGTTTAAACAGGGGAACTAGGCTCTCAATTCCTGTTTCGCTTGTTCCTAGAGGCTAGGTCCCATGTGTTTAAACAGGGGAACTAGGCTCTCAATTCCTTTTTCGCTTGTTCTTAGAGGCTAGGTCCCATGTGTTTAAACACGGGAACTAGGCTCTCAATTCCTGTTTCGCTTGTTCTTAGAGGCTAGGTCTCATGTGTTTAAACAGGGGAACTAGGCTCTCAATTCCTTTTTCGCTTGTTCCTAGAGGCTAGGTCCAATGTGTTTAATCAAGCCAGCCAGCCAACCAACCAACCAACCAACCTATCATGCCTATCTCGGTCCAATGTGTTTAATGGGGGGGTCCAAGATCTTATTTCTTTCTTTTTCTCCAAGAGACCCAATCCCTTATTGTTTATTTAGTTAGTCATATAACCAACCAACCAACCAACCAATTAATCAATCAATCAATCAATCAACCAATCAATCAATCAATCAATCAATCATGCATTTATGTTTAATACGGGGTCTGAGATCTCATTTGTTTCTTTTTCGCATGTTCCAAGAGACCCTATCCGATGTGTTTAATTAATGCATCAGTCAACCAACCAACCAACCAACCTACCAACCTACCAACCAATCAATGAATCAACCTATCAATTAATCAATCAATCTGTTTAATACGGGGTCCAAGATTTCATTTGTTTCTTTTTCGCTTGTTCCAAGAGACCCTATCCCATGTGTTTAATTAGTATATCAGTCAACCAACCAACAATTCAAGCAATCAATCAATCATCAATAAAAAAAAATCAATTAATCAATCATGTTTCGGATGGGAAAGACCGTTAACAATTGTTTTTAAAACAATTGATTTATATTTATTCTTTTTTTTTTCTTTCTTCCGCCAAATGTTTTTTTTGTTTCGCAATATGTCGCTTAGATATTTTTTATATTGTATCGTACAGTTTATGCGATTTTAAATTTCACCCTGCAAAGCCAAACAATTTTCTTTGTAAGAGTTATCTCCTCATTCACTGTTTATCTTTTGTGTATATCTCCTTCGTAATAAAAAAAGATATCGACAAAATTCATTTTCTAAATTGTTCGTTACATCCTCAGAAAATTTTGGCTATTTGGATCGAGGCGATCCGGTGAAATCTTATAGGAGTTATCTACCTTTACCAAATAAATTTGTCGTTATGTTTTTGTAACTCATAAATCATTAGCCGTATAAACCTAGAGTCTTTTTATTTCATGTCCTTGGGTCCTAACTTAGAAAATGAGGTCAATGTCAAAGGTCAAGGTGTGATTTTTGCTTGCTTTTGCATTTTCTCTGACACTTTTAAAGGTATATATAAAAGAACTAGTGCAAAATGTTTGCTTTTCTGTGATGAAGATATGATACATTTGGTCTGAAACGATCTAATGACATCTTATAGGAGTTATTGCCCCTGAAATGTTCTGATATAAGGTTAATTGATTATTACTTCAACTTTGTTCATTATAAAGCCATAGGGTCTTTTGCAAAATGTTGGGTGACATATGACCTTGAATAAACCGGAAGTAACCATTCTTGCACTTTTTTCATGGAAAAATACATAAAAACCATATATTTTTTATAGGTATATATAAACCTATCATTTGAGAGAGGATGTGACCATCAATAAACCAGAAGTAGCTAATTATCTCCCTAATTATAGGCAAAAGTATATAGAAACCATATATTTTTAGAATCAGTGTATATACAGCTATCATATGAGACCGGAAGTGACATTTTCTAAACCGGAAGTTTCAAATTATCTCCTTTTTTCAGGCAAAAATATATAAAACCATATATTTTTGGAATCTGTGAACAAAGCTATCACAGAAGACCGAAAGTGACATTTTCTAAACCGGAAGTAGCAAATTATCTACCTTATTTTAGACAAAAGTATATAGAAAACATATATTTTTTAAATCAGTATGCACAAACCTATCATTGGACGCCAATGAGTGGATATAAATACATCAAGCCTTAACATGTTAAAACATGTGATTTTGTATTTGTTGCGATCTTTAAATCTTGGAACAAAAATATGTGCAATGGTTTTTTCCGATTCATATGCTGCTTATGAGGTAGACAAACATGGTTTTGTAGTGCCTGTTAATATAAAACATTGATGTCTCATGGCTGAATTTAATTTAATTTCTTGTTTTAATGATGTTTTTCATTATGAATTGATTGTGATATAACTTATTGACAGGTTTTTACTTGATCATCACAACAGGTGACACAAGTGTTTACTCTTAGGTGGAGTATGTGTGGCTTAGTTTTATATTTTCTTCATGGTATGTAATGTTTAAGTTTTGTTATTGTTATTTGTTCTTTCATTTTATATTTTTGTCCAGGGTGTTGTCTGTTTCTAATTAAATAATGATTTTCAATTGCCCAGTTGGCAAAGTCGTTTTAGTCCCCTACCGACAAAGTCGAAGGGGACTTCAGGTTGAACTCCGTCTGTCTGTCTGTCTGTCTGTCCATCCGTCAGTCCGGCAAATCAGTTTTCCAAACTTTTTTTCTTCTTGCTTGAAGATATTGATTTGATATTTGGTGTATTGTTTTATCATGACAAGTTCCAGATCAAGTTCGAATTTTGTTCCAGTCTGATGATTTTGTGCAGAGCTATGGTCATTGGAAAATTCACTTTAATAATCAGTTTTCCACACTTTTTTTCGTCATACTCGAAGATATTGACTTGATATTTGTTATATAGTTTACACCATGACAAGTTATAGATCCAGTTAGCATTTTGTTCCAGTACAATGAATTTTTAACCGATAGGGGACTATGTATTGCCATGCAATACTCACAGAATGCTTGTTTTATTAAATGTGCTTTTGATCATTGGCTTTTATTTTATCCTAATGTTACTTAATTTATTGGACACTTTTATCATTTAATGATTTATGTTAATGGCTACTTATTATTCCGAACGGTATACCATCAAGTCCGGTGATTTAGTTCATTGTGTTACATAATGTTGAATTCATAAACAATATTGAATATACATGTGTGTGCAAACTCGTACGTCTTTATAAAAAAAACATCAGAAACAAGGAGCTTAATATTAAGTGAAGTATTGCTAAGCACGTATGGAACAGATATGAACTCTGTGCCGGAGATTGGGGAAAACCGGTGACAGCAAGAATTGATTGCCGAGTTTATGAGCTTCAGTCCTTGCTTAGAAGTTGATTTAGAACATTGCATTGACACCATGGCATCAGTTTTGACACCATTTTCGCCACCAGACTGGAGTAACAGACTGTCACACATTCCTAAATATTTTGTTAGGGTTAGCATCTACAGAATAAAAAAACTTTAAACAAACACAAATCAAGAAGAGACAACTGCTGGTTCAGGGCTTATGTGAGTCCAAATAATTATGACGTCTTGAAAGGCTATTTTATTTTCTGTGACGCCTTATCAAAAATAGCCTTTAAGACGTCATAATTATTTGGACTAGGCTAATGCAGGCAAATTAGTATGGAAATCGTCCAAAATGAAATCATCTAAATATTTTACTTTTACGCAATAGATTTATTTTTAGATATATTGATTAAACTGCATGGCATTCTATTGCTGTGTCTTGTATTTTTTTTTCAATATCAATTTACCGTATTTGAAACTTTCAAAGTCTACATGAATGGTAATTGGAAAATTTAGTTTTATAATAAACTAAGATAGCATTCTGCGCTCACTCGTATAGCAAAACATTAGCTTCAGGGATAGCTGATTTACTAAAAACAATTACAACACAAATTTTTGATCTGAAGATCTTGAAAGGGGCATTTATAGCTACAATATAGACAAAATATTAAAATATGTGTTTTCTTGTTTCAAACATTTATAAAAGCGGAATATCGAAACATTAAGTTGTTAGTAGCAGTCAGTTTGGTTCAGTTTGAACAAAATAAGCTAAAAAATATCGCAGATGTATTATTTGCTTGCATTAGTCAATAATTCAACTCATTTGAATTCGTATTCATGCGTCCTTTAATTAAATCCTAAGCTGAAGCATGTGGAGAAGAGTTACGTATTGCCTAAGCATGTAATTAAAAAGAAAAAATGTCAACATTGAAAAAATTGAAACAGGTAGCCAACAAGAAGAATCATTTCTTTGACTGATTTGGTCCACACAAAAAAACATTCTTATAGGTAAAACAATGATTTCCATATTTTTTAATCTACGACATGAAATCAAACAGACCTAGTCAGTAAATGTTTACACGTGCCTGCCTGTCTATTTATATTTATATGTATGTTTATATCAGGTGATTTGACCATCAACAGTCTTTAGAGGACATCTTAAGGTTAAAACAGAAGGCTTCTAGTCAAAAATACGCAAGAAATGCTAATACATTAAAATAATCACGTCATTGTTAACTGTTTCTTTTAGACTTTTTGTAAATTGGATATAGTCACATTTTAGTGTGGTGTATAAATCAAATATAAGAAATTGAATCAAATTGATTAACATGAATTTGACAGGTAATGCTCCTTTAAAGACATATGGTCAATTACAATAATTAATTCATAATCCTTATTTTTATTTTGCTCCATCCAGATGTTGCCAGACTTGTGGGTAAAAACAAGAATTTTGAATTTTCTTGAAAACACTTACAAAAAGATGACTTTCAAATCTTTTACAGCTTGGTAATATGAATACACCAATCCATGAGTGGAGACTTCCGAATGTACCCAGTGGTTTTAAAGTTTACATTAAGAGAGATGATATGCCTGGGTCAACATTGTCAGGTAATAAGGTGTGTTGATATTGTTACCTTTTAGCTCATCTGGACATAGCCTATAATTGCTTACATCCACTTTATTCAAACTTTGGTGGATACCACATACCACATCTTTTTTATATAATGAACTTTTGCATATATTTTGATATAAAAGTAAGGACATGTAGTATGATTTCAAATGAGACAACGATCAACACCATCAACCTGCAAAGATGTAACTCTATAGATGCCATTCATCTTTCTTTCTATGACTTGTTCAGAGTCAATATAACTGCTGACCCATCTTGTTTTTGTGGATGCAACATTGAGACTGTACATCATTTCTTTTTCGACAGTTCTTTATATACACACCCGAGAGAAATTCTGATGAACAATCTAAGATGTCTCCCTGATGACCTTATACTGAATGTTAAGTTACTAACATCTGGTAATCCGACCTCTCGTATGAACAAAACTTCCATATATTTAAACATGTATTCGAGTTCATTAAAAGGTCTGAGAGATTTCTTGTTATATGATACTAATAGTGTATTTGCGGTACATTCACGTCGTCATCATCATCATTGCCAATTTTCCGTTATTATTGTTTTATCTTTTTTCAATAGATAGACTCGTAAAGTATTGTTTATTCTGAATTATTGCATGCTTATATCAATACTGTATTGTAATTTAATGTTATTTGGAGCGGACTTCATAAGTATGGTTTACTTGTGTCCAATCCATTTTACTTAGAGTAAATTAAATATGTTTAAACTAAACTAAACTAACTCTATAGGTTTCTGTACAGCTTTCATCAATTAGCAAAACCCGTACCTTATCATGTTTATATGTATGTGTTATAGTAACCTATATTACATTTTGATTACACAAGATAGCAATTTTAAATACAAAACAATCCAAAGCATAGAAAAATGGCTTGATTTAAGCTAATATTTTTTTAACAGTATACATATAACACGAATGACAGAGGGCAACCACTATGCAACTGCCTTGGGACATGCACATAAAACATGAGGTTACATTTACAGGTTTGTGAGAGCTCAAATGTCATCCTAAACAAGAATAGTAGTGTAACAGCAAAACATTAGAAATAACTCTAAAATTCTGATGAAACAGGCTTGACTCATCAGATGGGTACTTATCACAAATCGAAAAAGACACAAAGTACTGATATAAGAGTACTCACAGTTACTGCAACTAGTTCCAAACCCAACTTCAATACTAAAATTGAATGTACAATTATTGGTCCTAGTAATAGAATTTAAATGAACTATTTTGTTTTAACCCAGTGAACCAGAATTGAAACAAGCATGGAAACTATTGTACTGAAGTTTAAATTTCAAGATTATTTCAAAGAAACTGGCAGCTGACGAATAGGATCATCTTTAATTTAAAAAAAAAACCAGAAAATAGGCATATTTGTTCTCTGTTGATTGATTCACTCCTTGCCTAGCATCTGTCGGGGTTTACATACCTTAAAAAATGGTTTCAAATTACAATTATGAGGTATGTTCCAGGGTGGCTGCACTTGACCACACATTTTACATCTCTGACCTGAATTCATGTGTGTCCCCTTCAGAAATAAGATTATTTGACAGGTGCATTAGTTTTCTTTTGGTGTCAATTTACACATTTTGTTTTCAATGTTGCACTGGTCAACCTATAATTTGCTTCTCAATTTTTAGCTTGAAAATTGGCCATTTTATATATTTTATTCCTTTCAATATAACTTCATTAAATGCTCATTAAAACATGTTATAATATAGCAAGATGTAGTTCTAAAATACAGGAATTTGGTATTTAATTTTTTACTTTGACTCTAACTCTCTATACCATATCAATGTTTGTGTCCATAGTGATATGAGTATTTTTTTCAATGATTATAAGCGATATACAATAAAACCAATAATAATAAGTTGCTTTCTTTAAAAAAAGAAATGTAATCGTGATCGTGGTATATATGAGCAGATAATTGTTATATAAAGATGCATGAATTTACCTGTTTTTTTTTATATAAGATGTAGAAAAACTGACAAGAATTCTTATTGTAACTGCTGTTCAATGTTGGGCATAACTTTTTTGTTAAAGAAATCATTTCGCTCTCTCCCATCCCTTTCTCTTCATATAGATAACATTACAACATGCTAAATAGGAGGTAACTACTGTATGTTCCATTCTAAGGTGCTGTTTTGGAAATTAAAGGTAGCTTCCTGGTTACAGTCGACATGTAAATGTGAAAACAGTCTTTGTGACAAGTAAATGTGAAAACAGTCTTTGTTTTGAAGAAGTTAAATGAAATGAATCATGATTATTTGTTTTTGTAACCAGTTTGAAAATAGATTTTTACCCTAAGCTATATTTCTTATTTGTTAATCCCGAACTAAAATCGTTTTGGAAAACTAATTACACTCGTTAATATGGTTTGGTCATTGGCTACCATATTCAGGATATGCTTGATCTCAATTTCTTTATACACAGGCAACAAACTCCAATCAGGCTTTTAGAGTAGAAACAGATTGAAACCTCAACTTTATACTTCAATCAGTTTGTTCAAACAAATCTCACTTTTTTCATTTCATAACATGTCCTTTTGTTAATTAGCCAAAATATAATGAAGTTGTTGATTTGTTGTTTTTATACGATTATGTTACAGACAGGGAAATAGGAATAACAGTGCAAATTCAGTATAGCTCATGTCCAGTAAGCAATCTAAAAATCCTGTTTTTGCAATCGCATATCTGTTGAATACGGATATTGATTTTAAGAAAAATAATTTGTTACTAAGTTGTGCTATTTTTTCTTATGAATACACACGATTTTGTATCGCCTAATTTGTAAATATATCGTCCTATTTTGAGGGTCGTCAAGTTGGTTACTTATTCCTTATTCCTTATTCCTTACTTCTTCCTTATTCCTTATTCGTTACCTATTCGTTTCTTATTCCTTATTCCTTATTCGTAACCTATTCGTTTCTTATTCCTTATTCCTTATTCGTAACCTATTCGTTACTTATTCCTCATTCCTTATTCGTTACTTATTCCTCATTCCTTATTCGTTACCTATTCGTTACTTATTCGATTTTAATATGTTTCCCCCCTTTTAATGCTTTATTTTCTTATCTCTCTAATAGTTCTTGAATATCGAGGTGAATTTACCATTTTAGCGGGAAGGTATCCGTTTTTGCGCTCGACTGATCCCCCTGTTACTAATTAAACACTACTTATTTGTTCCTTATACATTTTTATACGTTACACCTTTGAATTGCTTTATTTTCGTTTCTCTGGTGTTGATTCTTGGTTCGTAGAGGTGAAATAACCCAATTAGCGCATGTGTACCCATTTTTGCGCTGTACTGATACTCTGTTACTTATTCGATTTAGATATATTGCTCCCTTTTATTGCTTTATTTTCGTGTCTCTGGTGTTGGTTCTTGGTTCAAAGAGGTGAAAATACACCATTAGCACATATGTACCCGTTTCAGCGCCCGACTGATACCCTATTACTTATTCGTTACTTATTCATTTTTTATACGTTGCATCGTTGTAATGCTTTCTTTTCTTTTATTTTCTTCTCTCTGGTGTTAGCTGTGGGTTTGCAGATGGGAAAAAACCCTATTAGCACGTATGTATCCATTTCAGTGCTCAACTGATACCCTGTTACTTATTCGTTCCTTATTCACTTGTAATACGTTTGTTATACGTTGTACCTTTAAAAAAAAACTTTTAAATTGTTTTCTTGTCTCTGGTGTTAGGTTTTGGTTCTTATAGGTGAAATAACCCTATTAGCGCGTATGTACCCGTTTCAGCACTCGACTGATACCCTGTTACTTATTCGCTACCTATTCGTTCTTTATTCACTTTTTATACGTTGCATCTTTTTAATGCTTTCTTTTCTTTTATTTTCTTGTCTCTGGTGTTAGGTGTGGGTTTGTAGATGGGAAATAACCCTATTAGCGCGTATGTACCCGATTCAGCGCTCGACTGATACCCTGTAACTTAATCGCTACTTTTTGGTTCCTTATTAACTTTTTATACGTTTCATCTTTTTAAAGCTTTCTTTTCTTTTATTTTCTTGTCTGTGGTGTTAGCTGTGGGTTTGCAGATGGGAAAAAACCCTATTAGCACGTATGTATCCGTTTCAGCGCTCGACTGATACCCTGTTACTTAATCGTTCCTTATTCACTTGTAATACGTTTGTTATACGTTGTACCTTTAAAAAAAATGTTTTTCAATTTTTTTTCTTGTCTATTGTGTTAGCTATGGGTTCTTAAAGGTGAAATAACCCTATTAGCGCATATGTACCCGTTTCAGCGCTCGACTGATACCCTGTTACTTATTCGCTACTTATTCGTTCCTTATTCACTTTTTATATGTTGCATCATTAAAATGCTTTCTTTTCCTTTATTTTCTTGTCTCTGGTGTTAGCTGTGGGTTCGTAGAGGTAAAAGCACCCTTTAAACAGGTTTTAACTTTTTTTTAAAACTTGAGCGCGTATGTTCATTACTATCCCCTGCATTAATATTGAACTGAACTCGAGTTATAATATACTTCCATTTTACGTAGAAGAACCACTATAAGCACCCACAGTGTAAGCACCACAGATTTTAATATTTTTTATCAGTAAAATTATTTAAAATAGTTGTTTATGAGTTATTTTATATACAAGTAGTGATTGAATACAGTAAAGGATTCATTTAGAAGAGGAATAAATAAAACTTCTTAAATAAAAGAAAACATAAATAGGTGCAACGTATAAAAATATTTTCACCTCCACGAACTAAGATCCAACACCACAGACACGAATAGGTGCAACGGATGAAATCGAATAAGGAACAACTAAGAAGCGAATAAGTAACAGGATATCAGTCAAGCGCCGAAATGGGTACACATGCGCTAATAGTGTAATTTCACCTCTACAAACACAGAACCAACACCAAAGACACAAAAATAAAGCAGTAAAAAGGTGCAACGTATAAAAATCAAATAAGGAACAAATAAGTAGGATAAGTAGAAATATCACCAGAGACAAGAAATAAAATAAAAGAAAGCATTTAAAAGGTGCTACGCATCAAAAGCAAATTAGGAACAAAAAAGTAACGAATAAGAAATAGGGTTTTAGTCCAGTGCAAAAACGGTAAAATGTGCGCTTAAAAGGTAACCAGAGACGTGACAAAAATAAAGCAGTAAAAAGGTGCAACGTATAAAAATCAAATAAGTAACAAATAAGTAGCGAATAAGTAACAAGGTATAAGCCGAGCGCAAAAATGGGAACCTATGCGCTAAAATGGTAATTTCACCTCTACCAACCAAGATACCAGATACAAAAAAAAAATAAAAGAAAAAAAGCATTTAGAAGGTGCAACGTATAAAAAGCGAATAAGTTACAGGTATCAGTCGAGCGCAGAAACGGGTACACACAAGCTATTAGAGTAATTTCACTTCTACGAACAAAGAACCAACACCAGAAACACAAAAATAAAGCAGTAAAATGGAGCAACGTATAAAAACCGGATAAGAAATAAATCAGTAGCGAATAAGTAACAGGGTATCAGTACATCTGTTTCTGTACCATTGTACTTTGGTTTACGAGAATAAAGATATATATAGTTACGGAAACAGGTACACATGCGCTAATATGTTAATTTCACCTCTACAAACCAAGAACCAACATTAGAGACACAAAAATAAAGCAATGAATAGGTGCAATGGATAAAAGTCGTCTCGAATAAGGAACAACTAAGTAGCGAATACGTAACAGAATATCAGTCCAGCGTCGAAACGGGTACACATGCGATAATAGGGTCATTTCACCTGTACGAAACAAGAACCAATATCAGAGACACAAAAATAAAGCAATAAATAGGTGCAACTTATAAAAATCGAATAAGGATAAATACATAATAAGAACAAACACCAAAGACACAAATATAAAGCAGTTAAAAGGCGCAACATGTAAAAATCGAATAAGGAACAAATAAGAAGCGAAAAAGAAACAGGGTATCAGTACAGCGTCGAAACGGGTACACATGCGCTAATAGGGTAATTTCACCTCTACGAACCAAGAATCAATATCAGAGACACAAAAATAAAGCAATAAATAGGTGCAACTTATAAAAATCGAATAAGGAACAAATACGTAGCAAATAAGTAAGAGAGTCAGTATCATTCGAGACTCTGTCAACTAGACCCTAAAAATTCGCTCATGAATACAGATTGCCTCAACTTCTTGAAAAAAAAATGATGGAATTTCCAGAAACTTTCACTGATTCTTCTTAAGGTGGGACATGAAGTTGTTCATCTGCTTCTTCAACTTTTAGTCTGATTTTGTGTGTGTGGGGGGGGGGGGGGTGGTGTCACATACCACAAAGAATAACACTCATTGTTTCTGTAAATCGTTTCATATCTATAGAATTATTTTAAGGACTCAAACGCATATTCATTTATGAACTGTTTCGATATGACATATAATTTATGCATTTAATATACCTAAAACCTTAAGGTGCCTTTAAATTTGGTCGTAATTTCCAGGGTTAACGTGCATTTTTAAATAAGATTAAGTATGGTTTCTTTATATAAAAAAAGGAAGATGTGGTATGATTGCCAATTAGACAACTCTCCACCAGAGACCAAATGAGGTAGAAGTTAACAACTATATGTCACCGTACGACCTTCAAAAATTAGCAAAACCCATACCGCATAGTAAGCTATAAAAGGCCCCAAAATGACAAATGTAAAACAATTCATATGAGAAAACTAACTGCTTGAAGTCATCGAGTTGTCTTTTGTTTCCTTATTTATATTTTTATAACAATATATATTAATGTAGAGTCTTAATTACTATAAATAGAAATTCCTTATCTTATCTCTGACTGTATCATCACTCAGTCTCTATAAAAGACATTCACTATTTTATCCCTGACCCTGTATTAGTATTTCACCACTGCTATTGCATATGCATAATATCCGACATCACAGGCATCACGCCCAAACATTATATTATTCTTTCAGAATCGGAACCAAAACGCTTAAAATATTTTTATAACTTTAAAAAATAGAATGTTTTGTTGTACATGTAGCATCTTATATCTGCATTGCCGGATTATAAGGTTCAGTTTGTTTTTCTTTAATTCATTTTCTATCTATTTTAATTTGGATTTTGATAACGATTAAGGATACTTTGTTTCAATATTTTAACCATTTGAAGTAATGGACTTCAAATAATAATTCCATTTTTTCTATTTTAGTTAAAATAGAAACAATTTTAGAAACTCCTTATTTGTTCGCATCTTTCCTGGACGTAGAATTTTAATTGCTGCTTAAACGGGCTTTGCTCTTTTTTAATAACGCTAAAATTGGCTCAGTTTTATAAGTTTATAAACGCCCTATCCATTGACGGTCACTTAATCGCCAATGTGAACACAGCTTGTATTTCAGAAAACTTAACATATCATGCATATGCGACTCTAATTTGATTAACTACTGATGTAGGATATCAATCAGCCTCGATTAACACTTATCTCTATAGCAACTGTAAAACGCTAATACATATTCATTCGATCAATTAATTACCTTTTACGCAGGCAATCATAGAAGAGAAAAGATGTATTCTGAAAAGATAGTAGGCATTTCCGGTATTCTGAAAGACTACAAAAACAACCTATAAATATGCATGAACCCTCGAGGGTTCACGCAATGAATCTGATCAAATTCCAAAATGATGATAGTTTCTTTATAAGATGAGAAGAAATGGAATAAATTAAAACCTGTCAAACATGTTAAAAAAAACAATTTATAAATATATACTTGTAAAATTTAGAGTGGGACCAAATTATCAGTGTCTTCATTTCAGGTCAGAAAACTAGAGTTTTTATTTGCTGATGCCATTGACAAAGGCTTTAAGAATGTAATCACTTGTGGTTTTATTCAGTCTAATTTTACCAGGTCTGCAGCAATAGCTGCAGCACAGCTTGGGTTGAAGTGTCATCTTCTGTTAGTAAGTCCAGAAGTGGTAAGATGTTTGTATTTACCAGTATAAAAGTATATATCGAGAGAGAGAAAACAACATATAAATGGAGAATGATGATTAAAAAGGCCTATCAAGGGGAATGTTTTGTCTCTCAGGCCTTCCCTGAGTTATATACATGATATAAAAGTATTTTCATGACGTTTTCTTAAATTTCTATATATAAGTGGACAGAGAAGGTTTAAAAAGAATAAAGGTAGATAAGCATGCTTTGGAAAAAATATAGGGATCAACATTATGTAGACACTAAATGTTTAATTATTGACGTGTGTTTCAAAATACTGAATTACATTTGATTTAAAATGAAAAAAAAAACTTCCGAAACCAAACAAAGAAAAATTTTAAATTAAAATAAACAATACTAGCTGGTACACATGAAAATGAAGTATTACATCCATAATTTCATAATTTCTTAAAATGATCAAGACCTGAAAAAAGTACTGCAAACCTGAGACTACTTTAACAGTCTCATTGCAAACTTGATTTTTAGGAATGTTTTTTTCCTCATTGACTAAAAACATTCATAATTATCTCCCATGCCAACTATATGATTAGACTTTTTCAAGAAAAGAATTAAACCAGTGATTGTCAAATAATTTCTTTGACAGCCTTATACCATGGAATCAAAAGAAACTGGTAAACTTTCTTACAAAGATTGCAGTGCCAACCTAACATATGAAGGAAATGTTTTATTGGACAAAATGAGTGGCGCAAATATCTATTTAATATCATACAGGCCAAATCCGAGCAAGTATGGGAAAAACATAACACCAAGAATGGAAAAACTAGCAGCACATATCAAGTAAGTATGTAATTTATATGCTTTTCGTAATCAATTCTCTTCATACGATAATTTAAGCCATATGATTCTCCAATTTTAACTAAAAGATGAAAATTTTTCATATAAATGAATGGCTAATTATGCTCCCGCCGTAGCAGAGGGGGCATTAAGTTTTACCCTTGTCCGTCTGTACGTCCGTCGATACGTCCCAAAATTAGTTTCCGTTCTCTAACTTTAGTTTTCCTCAACCAAATGTTATGAAACTTATACACAATTGATTGATTGTATGTTGGTGTTTTAACGCCACTTTTAAGCGCCACATTTGGGCTATTTTGTGGCGGCCAGTTTTTATTGGTGGAGGAAGCCGGAGTGCCCGGAGAAAACCACCGAAAACTGACAATCCTAGTCAATTAAGATTGGAGTCGAGTGCACCCGCACGAGCGGGGTTCGAACTCACAACCCCAGTGTTGACTGGCTAGTGACTACAGTAGTATAACTACTAAGACCACTTGGCCACCGAGGCCCCTCTTATACACAATGCTTATTAGCATAAAACACAGGTCTAGTTTGAATTTTGGTGGCGTCACTTTTATCATTCTAGAGTTATGCCCTTTTACAAATGGAAAAATTGCTGAAAATTTTCGATTCTGTTCTCTAACTTTAGTTTGTCTCAACCAAATGTTATGAAACTTATACACAATGCTCATTACAACAAATCCAGATCAAGTTTGAATTTTGGTGGCGTCACTTTTACCGTTCTAGAGTTATGCCCCTTTACAAATGGAAAAATACTGAATTTATCGTTTCCGTTCTCTAACTTTAGTTTGTCTCAACCAAATGTTATGAAACTTATACACAATGCTTATTACCACAAAACTCAGATCAAGTACACATTTGGGTAGCGTCACTTTTGCAGCTCTTGAGTTATGTCTCTTTATTTTAGATATAAAACATATGGTCATATACTTTCTTTGAACCGAAAAATCCTTTATTTTTTCCAAATCTTCAGGTTATGTTCTGCTATTGAATTATATTCGTCCCATACTCATATTTCTCTAATTCTCGAGTGGCGCAAGTAACTATTTAATATCATACAGGTCAAAGCCGAGCAATTATGGGAAATACATAACACCAAGAATGGAAAAACTAGCAGCACATATCAAGTAAGTATGTAATTTATATGCTTTTCGTAATCAATTCTCTTCATCCGATAATTTAAGCCATATGATTCTCCAATTTTAACTAAAAGATGAAAATTTTTCATATAAATGAATGGCTAATTATGCTCCCGCCGTAGCAGAGGGGGCATTAAGTTTTACCCTTGTCCGTCTGTACGTCCGTCGATACGTCCCAAAATTAGTTTCCGTTCTCTAACTTTAGTTTTCCTCAACCAAATGTTATGAAACTTATACACAATTGATTGATTGTATGTTGGTGTTTTAACGCCACTTTTAAGCGCCACATTTGGGCTATTTTGTGGCGGCCAGTTTTTATTGGTGGAGGAAGCCGGAGTGCCCGGAGAAAACCACCGAAAACTGACAATCCTAGTCAATTAAGATCGGAGTCTAGTGCACCCGCACGAGCGGGGTTCGAACTCACAACCTCAGTGTTGACTGGCTAGTGACTCCAGTAGTATAACTACTTAGACCACTTGGCCACCGAGGCCCCTCTTATACACAATGCTTATTAGCATAAAACACAGGTCTAGTTTGAATTTTGGTGGCGTCACTTTTACCATTCTAGAGTTATGCCCCTTTACAAATGGAAAAATTGCTGAATTTATCGTTACCGTTCTCTAACTTTAGTTTGTCTCAACCAAATGTTATGAAACTTATACACAACGCTCATTACCACAAATCCAAATCGAGTTTGAATTTTGGTGGCGTCACTTTTACCGTTCTAGAGTTATGCCCCTTTACAAATGGAAAAATTGCTGAATTTATCGTTTCCGTTCTCTAACTTTAGTTTGTCCCAACCAAATGTTATGAAACTTATACACAATGCTTATTACCACAAAACTCAAATCAAGTACAAATTTGGGTAGCGTCACTTTTGCAGCTCTTAAGTTATGTCTCTTTTCTTTATTTTAGTTATAAAACATATGGTCATATACGTTCTGTGAACCGAAAAATCTTTTATTTTATCCAAATCTTCAGGTTATGTTCTGCTATTGAATAATGTTCTTCCCTTACTCTTGTTTCTCTAATTCTATGATTTTTTCTGTATGTAGTGACTTTAATATGACACCTTTACGTAAGAAATTTGGCAATCGCACTGCACAAGTCAAATGTGAAGGAGAAAATGTGATAGAAGAAAAAGTTAGCAAATGTAGGAAGGTAGTATTAACAGATTGTGAAAGAATCTGTTAATACACCAAACCATTTAACAACTGTTATGACAAAACTTAGTTTACAAATAGAAACACATTGATGATTAAAAAAAAACCACCGCTCTATTATCTCACGTATACACATTTTTGCAGTGCTCAATATCCATGATTCTGTGTTGATTGTATATCTAGGTTACAATCAGTAAACTTCTGCAACACAACCCAACAGTTATTTCCAAATAGAAATCTTTACGGAGATCCATTTTAATCAGTTGCACAGTCAAATTTATGTTAACCTTATACTTTTGTCAGTAGTATAATTTGCTAAGACTTTTTCAAGTAGCATTATCAATTTAAAATTGTCCATTTATAAATTGAAAATATCAAAGAAACTAAGATTTCAACTTCCTCAGGCAAAGTTGACCCTAGATGGATTTGGATATTTTTAGGTCCTTTTTGGTTATTTAGCTCTTCAATGGTTTTGGTTCTTATACATCCTTGGCTTTCAAATATTCGGCTTTGAGTGTTCCTAAAGAAGTTAAATCCAGAAAAACGCTTCGTACACATGAAGTTTTAAACGTAATGTTTTCATTTTTTTAATTAAATATGTTACGATATAACTGTCAGTTATCCTTTTTTTAATTAAGGTAGATCGGGTGTTTTTTTCTGAGCATCCCGTCTGGGCATATTGCAAAAATACTTTTTACGTTTAAAAATATTTACCAAGTATCATTCAATATACAACAGAAACATCTAAAACTTGAAAATTAAAGATTAAACTATCAAAATATTAAGTGTCGACATGTGTATTTAAAATTTCATAAAAAATCCTTTTAAAATCAAGGGCTGATAATTGTATTGAAATTGATTGGACAATTTGTGTTTTTTTTTATTTATCGACAAAACAAGGCCCATGACCCCCTATTTTTATTGGATATGTTGGAAGTATTTATGAAAAGAAATTCTATCGTATAATGTTTCCTCAATATGGAAAAATTAATTTTCCCCAATATACATTATGTAAAATAACTGTAATTTTGTTTATTTTTCTCTGTATTTTAACGAAATTGTTACCCCCAGTGAGTACATTGTCCCAGAAGTCTTTTACTGAAGTTTAAGTCAAAATCTATTGTCCAACATTTAGACACTCAAGATACCTTAATCTATTATTGATTTAATTGTCCCTATCATAAAGACTCTGTGGTATTGAACAACTCCTAAAACCTGGGGCAAATGAAATTAAAAAACGGGGAAATTCATCATCAGAAGTTTATCTTTACAAACATTTGTACAAACAGACTATTGTTATTGATATTGAATTAGTATATATGTTAAACAGAAAAATAACAGTAAAATTACTTTGTAAATTACGTTTGGAGTTATCTCCCATTGACAGTTATATCTTTTATAGGAAGGAAACAGGAGAAGATTCTTATTTGTTACCGATTGCTGGAGCTAATGTTGTTGGATTATATGGTTATATAGCAGCATTCCAAGAAATGATTTCTCAGGTATTAAAATATCTAATATATGTTCAGTATTTCTGCCAAAAATTGGTTAGGCATTAACATATGACACAAGAATATTGTTTATTTTATACAGTATCAATCTTTTACATGTACCAATAATTATCTTTTTGATATAGTTTGGTCCTTTAAAGTTTTCTAGTTTATGAAAAGCTGTATAATTATAAGAACATATGTGAGTGGTATTACTACTAATATAAATAAGGAATGTGGTATGATTGCCTATGAGACAACTGTCCACAGAGACCAAATAATTTGGATGTTATAACTATAGGTCACTGTATGGTCTTCAACAATGAGAGACAATTATCAGTTGAAGACCAAAGGATGAAAGAATAAAAACATACATATCTCCTTTAATGGCAGAGTCCAGGTTAATTCCTTTAACATTATTAATGGTATGGTCTTTCAGTTTTCTTTTTTGAAATTATGGGCCATGTAAAACTTTCAATCTGCATTTTAAATACTCCCATTTTTAGAAAATAATGTGCAAGCCGGGTTTGTATTTGATTTTTATTTTGTGAAAATAAATTGCCAAATAAATAAGAACTCTGTCCTATTGATACCATTGACAATTATTTAGGGAATTTTAGAAGAGTTTGATGATATTGTGGTTACCTGTGGAAGTGGTGGAACAGCGGCTGGACTTTGTATAGCTAACTATCTAAACCAATCAAAACTCAGGTACTGGTATATTTATCTGCTTTAACCAATTAAATTTTAACATATTGAGGATAGGTTCTGCTTTCTGCATCAGAAAAGTTGAAATTACTGTGGAACCTAAAAATTCGTTTTTTCTTGTGTAATTTTGTAGAGAAATATGAAACTTTTAGAATCTTCTGTTAGAAGGTCAGCTCAACTGATAAAAATTCAAAACTACTAATGTGATATTAGATATCCATTTTCTGTATTATTTAAACAAATGACATTCCGAGCTTATCTATGCTATCAAGTTCTTGAAACTCATAACAGTTAAAACAAACATTTATAGTTTTCAAAGAGAAAGAACATACTACATTAAAATCAATATTATTTGTATACTTAAAGCTGTCTGACAAAAAAATGGAAACAACACGTTATATTATTTCATGCGTCCGAAGCGCTTTTCTGGATTTACATTCATCAGGAACGCTCAAAGCCAAAAATTTGAAAGCCAGGGATTTATAAGAACCGAAACAATTGAAGAGTTATATGACCAAAAAGAACTTAAAAAATAGCCAAATCCATCTAAGGCCAACTTTGCCTGAGAGAGTTGAAACCTTAGTTTCTTTATAATTTCAAAATTTATCAATGGACAATTTTAGAAAGGTTTGTTATAAATCATGTCAGTACCGAAGTACTGACTACTGAGCTGATGATACCCTCGGGTACTGATAGTCCACCAGCAGAGGTATCGACCCAGTGCTGTAAAATATGGAAACAACACGTTATATTATTTCATGCGTCCGAAGCGCTTTTCTGGATTTACTTTCATCAGGAATACTCAAAGCCAATTATTTGAAAGCCAAGGATTTATAAGATCCGAAACAATTGAAGAGTTATATGACAAAAAAGAACCTATAAGATAGACAAATCCATCTAATGCCAACTTTGCCTGAGGGAGTTGAAACCTTAGTTTCTTTATAATTTCAAAATTTATAAATGGACAATTTTAGAAAGGTTTGTTATAAATCATGTCAGTATCGAAGTACTGACTACTGAGCTGATGATACCCTCGGGATCTGATAGTCCACCAGCAGAGGTATCGACCCAATGCTGTAAAAAATGGAAACAACACGTTATATTATGTCATGCGTCCGAAGCGCTTTTCTGGATTTACCTTCATCAGGAACGCTCAAAGCCAAATATTCATAGGGTTAAAGAAAGTCAGAATTGCATATTAAGTTTAGGAATATCAAATTTTTCTAGTGGGAAAGTGGTCTTTGAAATAAATGTAATGCTCTGATAAATCTAAAAATATTTGTGAACTTAGGATTAACTCAGGTTTATATTTATAGGTTTTAATTTAAAGAAAATCATCCCTGTTTCTGCTTTTATATATAGACTCTCCTGCTGTTGCAAGTGGGTCAAGATATTTCTCCACTCAAGATAGTTAAGCTTTAGATTTCCATCATTCCAGCATTACGAGCATGAAAAATAAAAGCCTTTATTATGCCTGCAAACTATTTTAAATGGTTTAAAAAAGAAGCAGAAAGTTTGTGTTAAAAGATCTAGATTGCCAATTACTATGTCTATATTGTAAAAAATTGTAATGTCATTAAGAAGCAATATTTTCAGCCTTTTTAACAATGTTATGTTAGAGGCAGCACGTGTTGTAGCCTTTTTTGCATTTTTGCGATGTGGAGAGTTTACAGTTCTTAGCCATTTTGAATCAGAAACACATTTGTGCGTTAGTGATGTAGAGATGTTTGAAGAACATATTTTGTTTCATCTGAAAAAAATCTAAAATAGATCAGTTTAGACAAGGTGATACTATACCCTTTTACAAAAGTGGTCACATTATTTGTCTTTATATCGCTTAAAAAAGCTACTTGTCTTTACGAAAAAAAACACCAAATATTACATCCGATGCTCTCTTTGTCTCTGATGATGGCAATCCTTTAAGTAAAAACTTCATTATCAAACATGTTAAAATTATCAAAGACAGCTTAGGTCTACAAAGCAAAAAATATAATGGTCATTCTTTCAGAATTGGAGCAGCCACAACTGCACAAGAAGTTCGACTTGAGGACCACTTAATAAAAAAATTAGGCAGGTGGTCATCTGATTGTTATACTCGGTATATCCACACCAGTCCGAGTAATTAAACAAGCTCAAAATCAGCTTGTTTCATCAATTCAAGTGTCATAATTTATTTGTACTAGCAATAAAAGGAGAAATTAACTTAGGACTACAGCTGATATGCATCTGTATTTGGACTTTTCGATAAAATTGTATACTTTTATTCACAATTTTTATCTTATCCCCCAAGTTTTGTGTATATTAATTTTCATTTGTATGTCAAAAGGGGGATAACTCTTTATTGTTTATTATGTGTATGCAGCTGATTTCATTTTAGTCTTAGAATTATATTTTAATAAATAGTTTTATTAGCACTGGTTCTTTTATTTAATTATGGCTTAAAACTATTTAACGTTAAAAAACTAAACAAGGATACACGTACACTAAACACAATTTTGGATTATCTTAGGAGATGCACGGTTTACATCAGCGAGATAATTTTCTTGGTTACATTAAGTGTAGACATCCTATGGTAAAATACTGTTTTCAACAATAAACTCTTTATCAAGCCTTTACATTAAATTTCGAAGGATAATCATAGTGTTTCTTCAACAATAAGGATGAATATAAATATACATATATTAAAATACAAAAATCAAGTTTCTACTTATTATCTATATATATATACATCTTTAGTTACCAAAACTTATTTTAAATACAGAATCCATGCAATAGCTATTGGTGATAACAAGCAATCATTTATGGAACACATCAACGACTCAATAAAAGAAGTCGGACTTGGTGATTCGGTTTGTGCTGATGACATAATAGATATTGTTGATGGTTATAAAGGACGTGGGTATGGCTTATCTACTCCTGAAGAACAAGGTTTGTTGGTAAAATTTATATTTAAACTGTAAGACATATTTGTAGTTTGTAGTCATATTTTTAGTGTCAAATGCCTTTGTACCTAAATAAAAATAGAAAAATTGAAACCAGTTTAGTAACCTGCTTTTGTGCTGATTAAATTGTCATTTGCATTATATTTTTAAGCTAGAATTAAGTTTAGTTAGATAAGAATAGTCACCTATTATATTACTTTGTAGTAGGGATATATAATTCTTAATGTAAACCTTCGATGTTCCAATTTCACTGTGCACAATACTAAGGATATGTGTTCCTACACCAGGTATGCTCAACTTCTCTGAGATTTTTTGAAGATGAACATGAACCAATATATTTTTGTCTGATTAATTTTCCTATCTGTCATCCGTGATGGCTATAGATAACATTATTTTAAAAAGTAGAGAGAACAGTGTTCTGTTTAGAAGAAAATTTAAAATTCTTGCATGTTCTATAATTCATATTTAAAAAAAGATGGATAGTTAACAGTGCATAAGGAAGTAAAATTAACAGTACTGAAACTTTTAAACTCTTGAGTTTTCTCAATTTGTGAAACATTAAGAAAGTAAAGAGAACATGTCCTGTTGAAAGGAAGTTTAAAACTCTTGTTCTAAGATAAATCCCTCCTTTTGTTCATATTTAAAAAGGAGATTGAAATTTACTGATAAAAAGTGCAAAACATTTGTTTATATTGCATAAGGAAGAAAATCAACGGTCTTAAAACTGTGCACTGAAGCTAACACATTTTGAACACATTTCTAATATTTGGAAACATACTCAAGTTTTTGTATTCATACATCCCAAATTTTGATTCTCTCATGTCAAACCATATTGATGCTTATTGCTGTAATGAGAATTCTTTTTTTCATAATTAAAACAAAGAACCAAATTTAACCGTTTTATTTCATGTTAAACTTTGTAGTTAGGAATTAAAAAGGCAACTTTACTAATGTGTTGTTTTTTTTGGGGGGGGGGGGGGGGGGGGGGATATCCTTTTAATCTTTTTTTTTTTGTTGTTTGAAAGATTAGAATAGTTTTGTTATACAAACAAAATATCAAAGGATAAGTTACATTTAAAAAATCTTCTCATTAGTAAGAATAATGGTGAATAGCTTAACTTTTTAACATGAATAGTAAAGATAAAGACAAAAAGTCAATGTAACTGCAACTTGTCAATAATCTGTTATCAGGAATTATGTACACGTATCGTTGTATGGTTTCTTACTCCAGTATGAAATTAGGGCTTACAAATGTCTATAACAATTTTACTTTCTTTTCATTTATACAGTGAACGATGTACAGAGCAGTGTAGAGATGTAGAGGAGAAGTTTTTCCATGCCCTTAAGAGATTTCTTTAAATTCAACTTGTTTTATTATTCTTTGCTTACTTTCTAAAATGATACAGTTCTTTATTTCTTTTTGTGTCTTAAAAATTTCAAGTTTATAATTTAGTACTGAAACTCAGGGCCAATATTCACCACTGACCACCAAGCGATATATTATCAATTGTGGATTTCCTTGTCTGTTATCTGTTTAATTTTGGGTAAATGATTTTGTAGGGAGTAAAAAATCGTTTTTCTTGGCTCTCTTCTTCCATTGAAAACCCAACTACTAATTTTCGTTTGTTTATGATTTTGTGAGTTTGTTTATTTTGCCTTTTTTATTTTCAAAATTTGGAGAATTCAGCAAAGGTTTACTTGTTATATTTTTTATGGAAAATGCAAGGTCCTACCTGTATTTGAATTTTAATCATTGATCTGGAAAAAAATAGATAAATTACAGATAGCCTCAGAATATGATTTTTTACAAACCATGAAATGTGATTTTCATTGCTAGTCCTTGCCAAAACAGCCTCTATTTCTCTGGTCATTTATTTTATAGTAAAATTGTCTTTTTCAGAATTTATTCAGTCAGTGAGCAAAAATACTGGAATTATATTAGATCCTTGTTATACTGGTAAAGCAGCAAATGGGCTAGTGCAAGAACTAACATCAAATCCAGATAGGTTCCAAGGAAACAGAATTTTATTTATACATACAGGTAAATACATGACACCAATTTCCACAAATAATAACAAACATTTAGATATTACAGAGGACAACTTCCTGACTGGCATATTTGAACTGACATATTTTTGAAATTAATAAAATTGATCATGTGGTTATGTATAGAAAATATATACATTTATAAGGCTATAGGATAGAAGTAGATCGTTAGTGTATTCGTGAGTACATTAGATCTGCAGCCTCTTATTTAACTTTATTGGAAATTTGTACATTTTCTCTTTCATCCTACTGTTTATATTTTATTAGATCATGGATAGGACTTGATACTCGAAAATATTCGTCAATGACGTCATGTATCAGTGCAGCAACGTCACATGTATATGTCCATCCGCGTCACTTTATCAATGAAATACACGCAAATTCATTTATATAAAAGAAACCGCTATCTAAACATTTTGTATGCGTAAATAGCTTTACTTTTACTAACTATTTCGTTTTATGTCATATTTTCAACAAAAAAAAACATATTTTTAAGGCAAATTGTCGATAAAAAGACTGCTGACATTTCATATTTTGATACCCAATTCATCAGCACGAATATCAGCTTGCCCACAATGAATATCAGCTCGCCCTTGTGGGCTCGCTTGATATTCTTGCTGATAAAGTCAGTATCCAAAACAAAAATGCCAGTATTCTATATGTATTACGCTGTGGCATATGAAAATAACTCTTTATAAATTTGTGGCATCTAAAATGCCTTTCCAGATTAACCTTCATCAAGAACGTTCAAACCTAAATGTTTCAATACTATGTAAAAATATGTAGACAAGTTAGGAGCTACATGGCCAAAATGAACCTTAAAATATTTGCAAAAGCCATTTAAGGTGAACTTTGCCTGAGGGAGTTGGAACCTTAGTTTCCTAATATTTTTTTGATTTATCAATGTTTTCATTTAAATATCTCCGATCTGGTATACAGTTTATGAGACATTTCCAAAATAAATATTGTGGTAAATCAGTATTATATAATCACTTCCATTCTCTTGTATAGTATAATACATGTTTTTTTTAACATAAGAGTTTTATGACATATATATTTTTATTGTGACACTGGTTTAGTGCTGCATATATTCTTCTGAAACTGATTATGTTATATTTATATCATTGATATTTCACTGCTGTAATCTGATCAGACATTATGACCGTTATCTTATATTTAATTGTCCTTAGATAATTTTTATGTTGAGATTTCTTTCTAATACCCAGTATATGGCATCTCTGTTGATATTTTACCCCTAAAATTTTCTAGCATAGCGCAACCCATTTCTGGAATATCAGAGTTCTCACATTCCTCACATTATTGTTGATTCGATTTGTAATATCAAACTTAATTTTATGTTATTATAAAAGACTGCCATTTTAATTATAAGTTTCCTATTATAATATAAATTATAATTGTATTGATTCATTTAGAAGTGTAAATGTTATGATGCTGTCCTGCTATTCCTACATTTTAAAAATAAAACATACTCATCCTATTCCTACCAACAAAGTACAATAGCTGTTGTTTTAAGGTAATTTGTCGTTTTAGCAATTTAGATTTAACTGATGTACAGGTAAATAAGTGCAAGAAAAAACACCCTTTTCTACTTTTATGATTATAAAGATAAAAATATGGATATAGAAAATTAAATAAGGAAATTTACTTTGAATTTATATAAAAGGAAATTCCGAATATCTCAAATATGAAAAGTAACGAAGAAGAAAAGGCTTAAGGAAGTTTGCTCCTCTTGTTTTTGAATTTTTGCCAGATTTTCGAAATCCTCTGGTTTAATCCATGTAGTGCCATTCAAAAATTTTGCCCGCTAACCCCTTCTTTTCTTTTCATAATTTTATTACGTATAGTTTCAAAAGCCATTTTTGAAAATCTTATAAAATCCTTGTTATTTTTTCATAGTTTTTGAAAGAAAAAGGGTGCAAATGTATGAAAAATCTAGAGAGAATTATTTCCCGCCAAATTTTAAATGGGTTATATCTCGAAAACAAGCACACGAACCCTTCATTCTTTTCTGCTATTTAGTTCCTTTATTTATATACTATAAATTTATAACAATCTTTTAAAAAGCTTGTTATTTTGAAACAGAGTAGCGAACATCCTTAATACAGAAATGAAAAATTCAAATTTAAATCTACATATCACACTTATAGTTTAAAATTTGAACCTTCATCTTATTAGATAGCCTTCAATCAGGGATAAATGTTACAAAAAAAGTATAAGGTATAAGTATAGATAGGACCAATTCATGTATTAGTCACAGATCACAATGACTTTATATAGACTGATTTTGTGATAAATTCTGATATATTCAGTATTTTGTTAATTTTCTAATGGTTCATGTAACAAGCTTTGTGTAGAACTTAAATTATTGTTTTATATGCATACGATTTAATGATAAATTTTCATATCTAAACCTATCATATTTGTCTAGTAATTTTTCTTTCATGTGAAGTATAATATTTTTTTATTGTAGTGCTTAAATTGTGTTAGCAAACCTTTTTTTTAGTGACAAATTTGTTTTGATTTATTTTTATTGGAATCACTCAATGACAAAGACTTTTCATTACACCAGGAAATAAACACAACAGGTTTGAAAAATGATAGAAAAATAAAATAAAGATAGAATAAAGATACAAGACAATTTCAATGAGACATGAACATGCATTTGTTAGAACTTTTTTTTAACATTTTCTACTATTAGTATTTTCGAATTGTACATTGATGAAAACTTAAGAAGTTTTTAATCTGATTTAATCCATTGTTTATTCAAGCATTCCTCCTATTCCTACATGGATTTCTTACAAATGACATACCAGATTTTAAAATGTAGGAATAGCAGGAATAAACCGTTATGACTTTATTTGGTTTTATTTTCTAATTTACTACGATAACATGTCAAGGTTTTGACACAAATTCTGTTACAGGTGGAATTTTTGGTTTATTTGATGGAAAGATGGATTCCTATTTAAGGCAGAGAAAACATCCAGAACCTGTGGTATTATGGAAAGATTTGGATGACTTATCAATATAGATTTATTGAAAATAATAGACACCGGTGTTATAATAAAATATGATGATTTGATGATCACTGTGATAATTTTTAATGATTTTTTTACATAAAGATAAATGTTTTATTGTCTGTATTGCTTGGGCCTTTGCAATGTCTTTATCAAGGCTTTTTTGTAGCAATTTCATTTCAAATGTCTGGCATCAATGCATAATTTATAAAGTTAAAAGAATGTACTGCCATAAGTTGAGGGTAAAGATAATGAACACATTGCCTTAGGTTTGAGGTTTTATGTGTAAAAAAAGATATCATACATAAAAAATATGAAATGCGTCTTGTTAAAATATACTTTTTTTCACATCTTTTGTCTTTTGGAAAATGTTGTTTGTGCTGTATTTAGACCCCTCTACCAAGAAATTTGTTTTGCATGCACACGTATAAAAATTGCGGTTTTTATCCAACGCAATCATAGGTTTGAACGTTGTTTTCAATTTAGACTTGTTTATATTTTTGCGTTTTGGCTTGTATTATATTTGCTTTCGGGTTTATATGATCCGTTCATCCTATTTCGACTCTTCAAAATTCAAGAGTCTATCCTTAATTGAGGTAAATTATATGGCCTTCCAAATACCGTTTCGATTCTTAACATCACTGAAGAGACATTAATAGTCGAAATCCGGATATGGTGTACTGATTTTTGCACCTTTTGTTTGCGGTATACCATCTTTTCCGCAAGTTTATTGTTTTCTGTTTGGTATCAAATTAATAGTTAAGATCCATTTTGTTACATCTGGTGATCCGTTTATTTGGCAATCGCCAATGGCAGTCAGCAGGCTTTAAGAACATCCGTTGTTCGACCTGCTAGTCAAATGCGTTTTGTTAAAATATACTTTTTCACTTTTTTGGTCTTTTAGAAAATGTTGTTTGTGCTGTATTTAGACCCTTCTACCAATAAATTTGTTTTGCAGTTTTTATCCGACGCAATCATAGGTTTGAACGTTGTTTTCAGTTTAGACTTGTTTATACATAAAAAATACATATTTCTTTTAGTGTGGTTTATTTAAAATTAAGCACAAACTTTATAATCCAGAAATTTTATACTGTTGATTGCTGCTGATGGAAGAATAAGTGGAAATTATTTAAATAAAAGAATTATTCGTTTTAATAGTATTCAAAAACAAGGAGAAGGTTTAAGATGACAAAGATCAACAAATCAAATATTCATCTTTTGAATGTACTTTTTTTGCATCCCCTTATAATCTTTTGACATAACAGATTAAAAGCGATTTTTCTGTCTCAAAATAAGGTCAGTTTCTTTTAAGTCCTAGAATATAAATAAGTGTTTTCAGTACAACCCTTTTAAATACCACTGTATTGCCAAGAAGGGTCTGGCAAATTAAAAGTTTCAAAAATAACACATTCTCATTTACCTGTACTGAAATAAATTGATTATCCAAGAAATTGGCATGATGTTAAACATTATGATATGCCATTTTGTTTATCATCTATAAGCATGGCATAATGAATTAGTTTTGCTTTGACTAATTCTTGAGAATCTTGTAGAAAATGTCAGGATTTATCAATATAAGCTACCTTTTAAGTTTGTCAAATATCATTGTTGCCAGTTCGAGATATAAATCTTGATTGATTGATTGATTGATTGCCTTAAGTCCTGACAGTGCAAATGGGCTACATTGAGATGAGAGCCCAGACTAATATTTAAGGAAATGGGATATGGATCCTAGTCTAATATGAAGAATGTGTAATTCTTTGTATGTGCAAGATTGTTTTGATTGATTCTGAAAATTTGTATGTATTATTATATATACCATTGTTTAATTTTTGTTATTTTCATGTAAGTTATACTATGTTTATTGTTATAACTTAAGAATTCATTTGGCTTGTGCAAAAATAGTTTTGAATATATCATATCTGAAATAGGTTTTGCATGATTTTTTTTAGATAACTGCATGGATAAGATGCGATAATTATCAATTATGGACTTTTGTCGAGGTCAATACGTTATATATAGACCTGTTCCGATTATATTGACCGAGGACGAAGTCCGAGGTTCAATATAATCTAACAAGTGACTGAGTGAAAGTCCTTAATTTATATATTACATATGTAAATAGTGTGAGTTTGAAAATGATATTGACCCGACATTACTATTTTTGAAAATGATTTTGACTCGATGTTACTATTTTTAGTAACTTGGAGTAAATATCATTTTAAAAATAGTAACGTCGAGTCAATATGGCAAAATAGTGAAAAAATACAAAATATATATTGGGAAACACGTGACCAAATAAACCAATAAAAAACAAGATAATCAAACAATATGAAATATTACATTATATGTAATACTTTGACAATCGAGTACAGAGATATTGATATTTTTTAAGCAGAATTTCATTAAATCGAGGACAGAGATATTGATACCTTATAAGCATAATTTAATTAAATTTTTTTAATGATTATTATATGTTTATATTGAAATAAAATTATAAATCTTATTCATCGATTGAAAATGATATGGCAACACAACCTTTGTTTTAAATTGAATTACTTAATCCGAACCAAATACATGCATTATCATTTTGAAGTTTGATATTTCCACATTTTTGGTCTAAGTCTTCAGTGTCAAGGTTAATCAAAGAAAGTACTTCAAACGCAGCAAATTAAGAATGTATCAGTTGATTTGTTGTGCATATTTTGGTGTGTTTTTTGTTCCTCAACTTTAAGTTTGTTCTCTAGTGTTTTGTGGACTGATGGCTGTTTGTTTGGCCATGGTATGTTCAGTCTATCTTGGACTTCATTTTTATTGCCCCTTTGGTATGTTTCTCCTTTTTATACGACCGCAAAATTTTGGCGGTCGTATAATGTTATGACATTTTCAGTGTTGTCATCGTCGTCCGAAAACATTTGGTTTCCAGACAATAACTTGAGAATAAGTTTATGGATCTCTATGAAATTGTACCACAAGGTTCCATACCACAAAAGGAAGGATGTATTGATGTTCGGGGTTGTCCTAACTGTCAAGGAATAAGGGGCCAAAAAACTAGGATTTGTCCACAAATTTGTGCTACCAGGAAATTAATTCCATGAGTAGCAATAACCAAACCTAAAAGATATGTTTGTTTAACGTCCAGTGGAAAATATTTCATGCACAAAAGGACAAGAACATTATCAATAGGTAAGTTCTGTAAAGTTGGTAAGCTGGTATGCTGGATTGGAAATTTGACTGACGCTGGAAAAGAAAGTTGGATTCAGACAAGAATTTTAACTTGAAACGGGCAACCTTTTGATCCTTAAAAGAGTTGGTGCAAGGGTTCTTAAATGTGCAGACAGCTGGACATTCTCCATACACCAAGCATAGATGAATGCTCCCCATTTCAAACGGACGTGACTCTTAAGCATTGAAGTATGAGTGTAGCTGCTGGATGGTGGATGGGAGAAGTTCAGGTGACTATATAATATTTCTATACCTCAGTTAATCCTTCGGATATTCAGAAATATGGAAGCTGAAAACTTTACAATACTTGATATTTTGAGCTGCATTCTATATATAATGACAAATTGAAGGTTACCAAAATTGAAACTCTTTAAAAACAAATAAAACCAAAGTTCACACATACGTTGTACTAGAATACGCTTCAACGTATGTTGTAAAGAACAAAATTTCCTACAGTGAACATGATGGTTAACAATTTAGTAGTATGCTCAAGTTTCTAACATGTCTTATTTACCACATATTTGTTATTTTTGGTTGTTGAAATCAATGTCCGACAAATAATTCACACCACTATGGGAACTAATTGTGCCCCTCCGTTGTTAACTTGTTTTTGTACAACGAATCCGAATGCACCTATCTATTAATTATGAATGGGAAATAAACAGACGCAAGAGCATATAAACGAAAGTTCAGATACTGTATGTTGAAGATGTGAATGGCGTTATATTGAAAACGTTAGTGGAAAGGTTTTGTTTGCAAATCGTCGAAAATATTTCGAGTTATGCTTTCTACCTTCATCAGTGAGGTATGTTTGGCCAGGTTATAACAACGTGTCCGGAGTTTCAGAATGTACCTTTTTGTTGTAGAATGATGGTTTGTGGATTGCTATGAATCGCTCTGAGTGTATTTACATTTTTCATATGGTTCATAGCAACCCATTCATCTGTCATAGAACAAATTTATTCGTTATCTTGTTTAACTGGTTCACGTTGTGACAATTTTATTGTGGAGGTGTATCCAGCATGTAGTTTTGTTAATTTCCTTTTATATTTTTTATTTTTTTTGTCCGGTCTTGGGGTTTTTTTTGTGTTTGTAATCAAGTCTTCCAGTCATGTCATAACGTAAAGCGAGCGTAATTGACCTCCGAGTTCATTCACTATTTTTATCTTCCTACGGCAACATCGGCAATCTCCATCGTAGGTATTATGTCATTTAGAATTGTCTATGTATGTATATATCATACAAAATCTATTGTTGTTAATATATGCTACAGGAATCAAATTTACCTATATAACTAAGCTCACATGTGTAAAGAAAAACAAAAAGCTCGAAATGTTGAGAAAATCATGCTTAGTCCGGTTGCGTAAAATTTATTGAAATAAATTTTGTTGCTTAATTTGACATATGGGTTTTGCTCTTTGTTCAAGGCCGTACGATGACCCATAGTTGTTAACTTTTATGTCATTTGGTCTCTGGTGAAGACTTGTATCATTGGCAATCATACCACATCTTCTTATTTTTATATCACAAAATATTTCATATATATTTTAATACATCAATTCAATGTCTCTTCAATCGGTTGTCATTCTTTCAAGATATGCATGGTTCGACGGAATAATAGATAGCAGAGTTCTCGAAATAAGATTTGCCCATAGGCCAATGTGCACAATACTTATATGGTTCCGTATCAAATATTGTTATACATTTTAAACAGAAGCTATACTAGAGTACCAAACAGCCTAAAAAGAATAAAACCACCACAAACTTTTAAATAAACAAATTAATTAGTCTACGTGACATAACTATATAACGTCA